AAGGGCTGGAGCGCCTGCCGCGGGATTCTGGGTGGCGGGGCCAGCTCGGAGCGGCCCTGCCCCCACGTTGCGAGTTCGCAGCCCAGCGCGCGCGCCCCCGCGTGGTGCTGGCTCTGTCCGCCTTGTAGCGCCGGGCACGGTGCGGAGGGACAGGGAGCGGCCCCTGGCACCGCAGGCAGGGGTGGTGCGGCTGAGCTCCCGCGGGTGTTACAAGCGGGACTCCGAATTCCCGTCGCTCCCCTTCACTCCGGTTCTAGTTGAGCGTGCGCAGCGCCTCCTAAAGCCTGGTACTGGGCCTGGCTGGCAGCCTTCAGCAGCGCAACAGGCACGTCTGCACTGCCCAGGGCCAGCGCCTGAGAGAAGGCTCCGCTCCCTGTAAAGCGGAGCGGGAATATAGCGGGCCGGCGGGCGGTTGCATTAGCGCTGTTGGGTAGAGCTGTCCCACCATGCGGCAGGTGGACTTAACAATTCTTGGCGAGAGCGAGCACTCAGAAGCAGTGGAAAGCACGTGTTGATGCACTCAGTAGTCTTTGCATCTGAGGAAGTGGGTCTTTGCCCACAAAAGATTATGCTCCAACACTTCGGTGAGTCTGTAAGGTGCCACGGGACTCCTCGCCGCTTCAGGGCTGTGTCTAGACTGGCAAGTTTTTCCGCAAAAGCACTTGTTTTTGCAGAAAAACTTGCCAGCTGTCTACCCTGGCCACTTGAATTTCCGCAAGAACACTGACTTCCTACTGTCTGAAATCAGTGCTTCTTGCGGAAATACTATGCTGCTCCCGTTCGGGCAAAAGGGCCAGTGTAGACAGCTCAGATTTGTTTTGCGCAAAAAAGCCCCGATTGCGAAAATGGTGATTGGGGCTTTTTTGCGGAAAAGCGCATCTAGTTTGGCACAGATGCTTTTCCGCAAGAAGAGCTTTTGCACTTTTCCGTTAAAAGCATTTGCGGAAAATCATGCCAGTCTAGACGTAGCCCAGTAGACCTTGAACTTTTGGCTCGCCACAGTTACTTCCAGCTGCATAGCCCACAACTTTCATGTTCTCTTTGTTAACATAGATATACATAATAAACGGATTATCTTTTCTTATATGTGTATCTTAGGGTATGTCTACACTTGCATCCTCTTTCGAGAGAGATGCAAATGAAGACATTCAAAATTGCAAATGAAGCCAGGATTTAAATATCCTGTGTTTCATTTGCATTATGGTGCCATTTCAAAATAGCGCTATATCGAAATAACAGGTGCTTTTAAGATGCGGTTATTTCGGGAGAAAACCCTTATTCCTCATACAATGAAGTTTACCAGTTATTTCAAAGAAGGGTTTTCTCTCGAAATAACCGTGTCTTAACAGTGACTGTAATTTCGATATAGCGCTATTTTGAAATAGCACCATAACGTGAATATGCAAATGAAGCACAGGATATTTAACTCACGGCTTCATTTGCGATTTCAAATGTCTTCATTTGCATCCCTCTCTCGAAAGAGGGTGCAAGTGTAGACATACCCTAATTAGTCACTCATTTCAATGTTAACTCCTCTCTCAGAACAGTTTGGGCTAATTCAGAGTCTGCTTACAGCCAAGAAAAACCTGTAACTTGGACTTGGTCTATTTCATTGCTGTGTAGACTTACAGGCTTGGGCTGGAGCTAGAGCTCTAGGAGCCTTTCATCTCATTGGGTCCTAGAGACTGGGTGCCAGCATGGCGATGTCACTCTGTTATCCTGCAAGAATTTTTTTATATATAGAGAGAAAGAGAGAAAGAAAAAAGAGGAATTCAAGAGTTAATTCTTGTTCATTATATAAATTATGATAATAACTAATTAGGCTATGTCTACACATCAGCATTATTTCAGGATAACTGACATTATTCTGAAATAACATAGCGTGCACTTGTAACCTTGCGTGGGCTAGACCAGTGTTTCTCAACCAGTGGTTTCTCAACCTTAAGGGTACTCAAGAGAAGTCTGGGGGAGTATGTCAACACAACTGAAATGTGGAGAAAACTGAATATTTGTTTTAAGTTTTACAGCGTTTTATTATTTTTGTACTTTTTACACCCAAAAATTTCATTGCCTGCCCAGCTATGATTAAGTTGTTTAAACAAATGTGTTGCAATGGTTAAAAAAAAATGTGTGTCTCCGAAACTGTAGGTACTGGGCATACTTATTTATTTATTTGAACGGGGTACTTTACAAAAAAAAGGTTGAGAAACACTGGGCTAGCCAGCCAGCTGGCTGTCAGCCCAGGATGTAGAGGTCTCTTGTTCTTATCTGTTGCTTTAAGTGGTCTAATTGCCACTTCATGGGTACGGCTAGACTGCGAGGGAGGGGGGAGGTCAGGATACCAGAAGTATTCCAAAAAAACTCTGCCACATCCAGGGAACGCATTAGCTCTTCTGCTTTTTTTTTTTTTTTTTGGTGGTAGAGCAAACGCGCTGTTTCAGAAGCCCCTTTATTCGTCATTCCATGAGGAAGAAGGGGGCTTTCGAAAGAGGGGGGTTTTCTGAAATTTGGCCCAGTCTAGACAGGCCAAATTTTGGAAAAGCCTCTTCCGACAAAAGTATCGGAAAAAGATATGCAAAATGCACTCGGCATTTTGCGTATCTTTTTCCAATAGATCTTCGCAGTCTAGACATAGCCCACGGGACAGTGAACTACACTAGGTATGTGGGTTACATGTTTACACTACAAGATGTTATTTCGAAATAATGTTGAACTGAGAACTTCTTACTCGACTCCTGTAACCCTCATTTTATGAGTAGTAAGGGGAGTTGAAGGAAGAGTCTTCTTCCTTCGACTTCCTACTGTGTAGACAGCGCCAAAAGCCGAATTAAGGTATTTTGACATCAGTTATGCAACTGACGTAGCTGAAGTTACGTAGCTTAATTTGATTTTAGCCCTGCTGTGTAGACGTACTCTAAGAAATCCTTGTACATTTTTCTGAGATATTGTAGCTTCTTTAGATATGGTCCTGTCCTGTCATCAGAACCATAGCAGATATCATAGTATATCTTATCTTTCCAGATAAATGAAATGAGAGAATAATCATCTCATATAAGTTGTTATATGCCACATAAATATACTTTTGTTTCGAATTTAAATTCAAAATTATATATTAACTAGCAAAATACAGTTGTCATGGCTAGTGATATGTTAATAAGTATAAAATGACATTCTAGATATGTACTTATTTATTTTATTTTTAAAAGATATATGTTGTGCAACTTTTTGGAAGTACTATTTTGTCAAATTTAAATGTCAACTAGTAGTTGACAGCCTATTGCGAGGATAACTCATGAAGTATATACGAAATCCACAAATGTCAGAGAACTTAAAAATTGGATGGTAATAGACCAAATCCTGGTCACAATTGAACCTGGTGATGATCTGTGGCTATGGTTTTATGGTAAATACAAGTAAGGGTAGGCAAATGTGTGGGTAGTGGTGGGATAGCTGTGTTGATTTGTGTGTGGGTTGTGTTAAGCTAGGAGAGTTGTGTGAATTTGTGTGGGTGGGAAAAGAAGACGTATGTGTTTGGGGTGATTGTATGTGCTGGGTGTGTTGTGTGGGTGGCTTTGAGGAACTGTAGCAGTTGGGCCAAGTAATCTGCCATCTGTGCAATCTCTGAAACACAATGAAATTGTTATATGCAGATTAACTGAAGAGTGAGGATGGGGATTGGGTGAATTACCCCTAATATTAAATTGGTCCAGGACTCTGGCATGACTTCTTATAGCTGTACACTATACGAGTGTAATTCATAACATCAAAATGTCTAAGAACTTAAAAATTGTCCATATCAGCCTGTGAAATCCAGTGATGATTCAAACTGATGATATTCTGAACAAAAGATTCTCAGCCTTGCCTACTGTTGCTGTTTCCATTACTTCACATTGACTGTACAGAAATTGTAGGATTTTAGAATGATATTTTTGGACTTTTTATATAAATATTTGTGGCTTGCAAAATCCATTCATCTACCTTGCCCTTAGTAAAATGAAATCTTTTCCAGATGGATTGCATCAATATCTGCTAAATGTAAGCTTTCCTCTTCTTTTTTAAATTTCTAGCCCTTATGGTTGCAAAGCTACCCCTCAGAACAAAAATTGTGGGTAAACCATTGCAGTGTAATCTTCCTGAGTCTGCAGCTGGACTGCTCAGTGTCTACACTGCTGTTCATAACTTCAACAAATTGCAAACTGTGACAAGAGAGCTTGACAGGATAAGTTAAATTTGAGAAATGTGTCTTTAGAATGACTCCAGAGAAAGAAGGACACGTTGGAGCAACACAGGAAAACACATGCTCCTACAAACTCAATTTTTCTTTTTTGTGAAAATAAAATGAAAATGTACATGCTTCATTTAAAGCATTGCTCTGAGGTGGGGGTGGGGCTATGGATGAAGGGTTCAGCATGCAGGCTGCTCTGGGGAGAGAGGACTACCGCAGCCCTCTCACTACAGCAGCTTGAGGCCAGGTGAGAAGCACCTCTACATGGCTGCTGCATGCCCCTGGCTGGGGCAGATCCAGTTAGGCTGGATGGGGGTCATAGAAGAACCAGTAGCTCTGGTTTGGGTGTCATGGCTGGGAGGGAGGCACCACCTTCTTCAGCCTCAGCTCAGAGCTGCCATGGCTGGGAGGGTGACACACAGCCCCTCTGCCAGCCCAGAATGGAGCTGCTGCGGCAGCTCTGTGCTGGGATTGGTGGCAGAGGTGGCACTCTGTGCGCCCATCTTGAGCACCTGTTCCCCCTGAGCCCTCTTTCAACATTCACTCAGTTATGCCAATTTTGAGGATTATACTTTATTTGGTGATTCTGTTCTTTGCGTCTCATAAAATCAAACAGAAATCTGCTGCAGCTTCTAGCAGGCACAGTCAGGGGAGGGGCACAGAGGGGGGGGGGCGTGTGTTCCCTGGCTGGGGCAGGTCCAGGTTTGTCTGTCCCTTGCACACTCCAGCCAGAGTGAGGAATGCAGCAAACTAAATTTTCCCCTCACTCCCTCTTGAAGGGGAACAATCAACAATGTTCCTGTATGAATCAGGGAGGAATTACAGCCCCTAAAGGGGCATGTGGTGTGGAGAGTTTGGGGTGGGGCAATCCTGGAGGGGTGGGAAGCACCCCCCAGCCAGCCCCTTTCACCTGCCTGATGATTCTGTCTTTTTTGTATGGTTTATGAAAAGCAATCCCATTCCAGACACATCCCATTTTCCTGTCACAACCAAACTCTTGAGTTGCTTTAAGTTATGATAAGAGAAAGCTGTATACCGAATTTGGTGGTCCTAGCTCTTACCATTTAAGAGGAGTTCTTGAACAGACAGCTACACAGACACATAGGCAGACAAACTCTCTCAAATATATAGTAAATTTATCATAGGAAAAACAAAAGGAAAAGTGAGTATGATATTCTCTTTTAACCCCTAGATATTACAATTAATTACTTGTATTACAGTTGTGCCTAGAGGTACCAAACAGAATTGGCCCCCTGTTGTGCTAGGCCCTGTACAAATACATAGTAAGGAACAAACTCTTCCCTGAAAATTTAATGGAAGAAAACATGCAACAAAATTGGGCATAACAAGATAAGGGGAACAGTGACAAGAACATGAGGTTTCAGCATAAATAGGTATTCAGTAAAAACATTAAGATAATTTAAAATTCAATATATATAAGTAAGAAATATTGATATCAATAAGCCCTATCATCAATAGGCCTAGCCCTTATCAGTTGCTGAGAAGTAGCATGGAAGAAATTGTAAAGGTAGGAGAAGTAGACAAAATTGAAAGACTAAAATGGAATTTGAGAGGAACTTAAGTCAGTTGTTATAGACAGCACTTTTAATGAATTTGGAGGTGAAGAAAGGAAGGAAAATTGGGCATAGAGGGATGAGCAGCTGGGGTCCATGAAGATTTGAAACTGGGGAAGACCATAGTGCATTTGAGAGGAAGGGACTTTAGGAGAAATGTCAGTGATAGAGGCAAGAGCTGGGGCAAAGTAGGTCAAGAGGCAGGAGGGGAGGGAATCACAAGGGCAGGTGGAGGAGTTAGAGTAGGAGAGCAGACAGAGAA